CAACCTTATCAGGGGCCACCAGCAGGGACTCGGGGAAAGTCTGTTCACCAGGGCCCCCCTTGGAGTCACCAGGAACAATGGCCACAAGCTGAGGGAGGATAGGTTTAGGTTGGATATTAGGAAGAACTACTTCACTGTAAGGGTGGCCAGAGCCTGGAATAGGCTTCCCAGAGAGGTGGTGCTCTCACCTTCCCTGGAGATCTTCAAGAGGAGACTGGATGGGCACCTGGCTGGGGTCTTATGACCCCTGCCACCCCCAGTGCTCCTTCCTGCCCATGGCAGGGGGTCGGACTAGATGATCTGTCCAGGTCCCTTCCCACTCAGTGATTCTATGATTCTGTGATTCAAAGGCAAACAGCAAACATGAAGACATTGTCAATTTACAGAGATTTTGAATGCACTTGGGGCCAGTTTTCTCTATCTTATGCCTGCATTTTTGCTTTAAGGGCCTGTTGCAAACCTTAAAGTGTGCACTTGCCAATACTCCTATGTTGTAAATAGATTAGTGACACTGAGCCTGGGACTTGCATGTTTATTTTATTTCCTCCAGAGAAGTGTAAGAGGTACGTGAGAGAGAAAAGGAGATTATTATTTTAGTTTGACAGTCACAAGAGTGCAGGGAGACATACAAAACACTCCACATATTCCTACAGATTGGGACTTCAGAGCCAATACCAGTGACAGTTTGGGCTTTGCCAGTATTAAATGCAATGAATAAGAACTGGGAGTTTGCCAAAAGCAAACATGACTTCCTTAGCTGTCCAGCCTGTCTGTATATTGCATAAACATGCATTTCCAGATGTAAGCTGCAAAAAAGAGGATATATAAATTTTGACAGCAATGTTTGTTTACCAAGGAAATCACTAGTGCACCTGCAAAATACAGACCAAGTACCTGCATATTATCCACAGCAACTAGGATTGCATGTGTAGATTAAGTAATTTGCATAAGCCACAATTAGTTAGGAAGCACAACCTCCTTTAGATATTTCTGGTTTATAGTAGGCACATCAGCAGCTCAGACTTTTTAACATGCATCCTCAAAGCTTACAGCACCCTTGAGAGCATCATGTTTATGCAGGTTCCCTGTGAGAAGTTAAATGTCAAATAATATACAAAAAGAGACAGCAAGATTCTGTTTTTTTTGTCAGTCTATTTACTCTGGATGTACTTTTCTCAGCTCTCTCGGGCCCTATTAGGTTTTCTTAATTACAAGGTATTTAATGAATAGCGATGGACGCTTCTGTTGGATGTGAGTGCTTTTTTCCCTTATATCCATGTTTGTAATAGACTTGATGTAAAGCTGAAAAAGGAGACATGGGGACCATGGAGTGCTGGTGGTTCTCGCCAAGTGCAGTTTATGCAAGGCCAAGGAGATTTGGCTATTCTCAAGCCGAGTAATAAGGTGCTGCAGGTCAGCATCGGACCAGGGCTACCAAAGAATTCCCGTAAGTATTCATTTCCCTTTGACTGGCTTATTGAATGGATATCTCTTTCCTGTCTGCCACGTACACTATCTTGTTTCTCTGAAGTATTCACAGAAAGAATTGGTAACAGACTTAAATGGTACAACAAATGTCTATCCTCAGGCTGTTCCCTATCTCCTTCAGCAGCACACAGTGACTGTTGGTGAAAATATGCAAAATTTATGGCCTTGACATTTAAGTAATCTGGTCCTTTAGCATAGAATTAAGAGTATACACAGCACATCAGCCATTCATTTAGGGCAGAATCATCCTCTCCGCTTCTGAACACTAAGAGCACCATCTCCCATATCGCTTATGGAGAGACCTTTGAAAGTTGAGGGGGTGTACATGTATTAAGAGAGTGGGCAGACTGGGATAGGAGGAAGCCTCTTCTCTACTGCACCCCAATCTTCTGGTGCCATCTCCTCAGGTTAAGGAAAAGTCACAGATGTACCAGAAATAGACTTCTTTTTACAAGTCTGAATTTCAAGTAGAACAGGACTGGGCATCTGTTTATAAGCATAGCAAAAGATTTAACAGAATGACAGGTTTCAGAAACTTAACTTGAGTTCCCACCAAAGAACTATGTCCAAACCAGATTTAACTTTCTTCTGGTGTACACCTTTCAGTCTCTCATGCCCAGTAATACATGCAGTTTTCTTAACAGCACTGCAATTAAAAACAGAAGAGTTCTTAGCCATGATATGTCTACTTTGGGCTTTGTGTTATTCCTGTGGTGCAAAGGTGCCAAAAAGCAAGCCAACTGGGATCTGTCTCGGGATGGCAGAGTTTCCTGGTGGCACAGGCCCAGAGTTACCCGTTTGCATAGTGGATGTCTCCTTGGCAAAAATGTGTGGTCAGAGCACCACTGTTCCCACTATTCTTAACTTCTTAAATAGCCCCAACTGGCATATGGACACTACTTAGAGTTGCCAGACTGTGAATTGGACCACAGCTGGGTGGGTGGAATTGCAAATGTGGCGTTACGTCACCTTTGCCAACCCTTCAGGTTCTGAGCAAAGTTTAACCTTGGCCAAGACCTGAGATTCAGACCCTGAGTTTCAAGTCCTCTTTCCCCTGATCACAAGTGGGGAGCTGGACTTATGAAATAAATACTGCGCAGAAAATAGCAACTAGACAGAATAGTGTGTGTTTCTTTTAGGTCCCACTAGACGGAACCTTACACAAAACAGAGGGAATTTCGGGAGGACTCAAACTCAGAATTACCCAATGAGGGCTGCTCCGCCTCCCCCAGGTAAGTTTTCAACCTCTTTAACTAAAGTGCTCCAGACTTAATCTGCCTCTTGAAACCAGAAGTGCAGGGAGGAGCGGGGTGTGAATGCTTTTCACTGTTTTTTCTCCCCCACTTCATAAAATATCTGTGAAATCACCATAATTGCAGTAGGCTCTGTATCAAATCAGCCTTTGAGATTGAGTAGTATTCAGCTAGAGATATTACACTTTAACTGTCGGATGCCAGTATGTACAGCTACTTGCGGCAAAACAATCAACTGCAACCAATTCCATGCCCCTTTCCACTTTACAATTTAGTACAAAATATATACACACAGCACAGGCCTAGACAGCACTCAGCAACGTCTCTGTGCTTTCAAATACCAGAAACAATAGAACTTGATTTGTGCCTCATAATGCCATCCTGTTATGCAACAGTTTTTTACGCACTGAATGCTGATTCATGTTAGCTGTGCCAGTAAGTAGCATACAGAGTTTAAACCCAGACTGAAGTCATCTTTTATTTTTCCTTAGGCCCGTAACAATAAGGTTTGTTTAGAATAACTCACAGCACTATCCACTGACCTAATACTTCCCAAGAATTCTGTAGAAACTGTTCCCTTTCTGAGCCACTCATTTTACACAAGTACAATGTTAAGAGAAAATTCCAGAGTTGAAACATTATGCTGTTCACCCAGTTAAATGGTAACAGTAGGACAATTGCTACAGTTCTGACACAGGCAAGATGGAGCTGAGTACAAGTCTTGGACTGAGGACATCATGGAATTGTTTCCCAAGATGTTGAGTTACTTGGTACTAATTAAGCAGCAGGATGCTTGCACTGCTGTCATTAAGCCTGGCTTCACCAAACAGATTTACAATCCAGTACTTTTAAGTTCTGATAAGATAGTAAATATTTTTTAAGGGACGAGTGAAACATGAAGTCAGCCAAAGAGGACTTTATTTATAATAATATTTTGTAAAACTTCACCTCCACAGTTTTAAAGATGCTGGAATACAAAAGACATGTACATTGGGCTTATTCACTGTGTTGTCCTTTAGATTAAAAAATACCCCAAAAAGAAGAAATTTTAAAATAATTTCCCTGTGAATGTGTCCTTTCACAGTAGCTGAGGAAGTGAGCACAGGCTCATGAAAATCTATGCATCTTTGCTTTAGTTAGTCTATAAGGTGCAGTCTACCCTGCCTTTTGCCTAACGCTTAAAAGCCATGTACTGTTGATATTACTGAGTTTTTGTTAATATGGTGATACAGGTTCAAGAAAACATCCTTTTCAGGAAATCTACCACTTTGAGAGAGCGTCCCAAAACGTTCAAAACTTACTGATTGAAAGTTTACAAAGAGGTTAAGGAAATTAGTTCCATGCAACTGAATATAGTTCTGTTCCACCTTATTTCCAACCAGTGTCAGCCAGTCATGTTAGTTATTTAAGATGGTGGTTCCCTGACTTTTGGAACCAGTGGACCACTGTCAACCTTAAAAATGTCTTGTGGGCTACCTTGACTTTTATTAGAACCATAGATGGACACACTATCATGTATATGTTAATTTATACAACCATAAACAGGTAATTCCCTTCTATCTAGGGGTCAGAAATGACACAATATGATTCTAGTATGTTTAAAGGTTAGATACAGGATTAGGAATAAACTGTGGGGCTTAACCTACTGCCCTAGTATCTGGTGTTGAAGATGCAACCATCTTTCAGGGAGCCAAGTCTGGGACCAGCAGCACTTGTCCCTAGTTCTGGTTCCAATTATGGTAATCACTCTGATGTGGTACTGTGGATAGAAGTGGAGCAATCAAGTACAGCTTTGTTCATGATTTACTGAGAAGATCTCATTAACTGAAATGGGTAGTGTCATGTGAATGTAACTATCTTGCTTCCACCCCCTGACCTGAAAGCAGCTCAGCACATTCCCACAATGCCCAGCAGGATTTTGCGGGACCTTCTCAGCAGATGCAGTAGGATGCTTCCTGGTGTCGGTCAGAGCTAAGTTTTAAAATTTAGGACAAAAGTCCAATTTCAGAGCGTCCTCGGAGTCTCCAAACCACGGCCTTTAAATGTGGGACTATCTTAGAGAATCCAGCCTGCTTGGTTGCTTTTGGCACTGAAGCTTGTAAAATATCATTAGTAAGCCAGTGTTTCCCAGATTTGCAGTAAGCTCTTCCAGAACCCAGGGTTCAGAGGAAGCAATAATTAATGTACTCCCCTTTCCATATAGCCATTCATTGGTCTAGTAGTTCAGCTGGCTACTGCCTCTTACCATGAGGAGGAACAGGAGAGAATCAGGGAGAGTGCATAAGTCATGGCAGACCCTGCTTTTCTCTCATTGAATTCAGTGGGAGTTCTGGCATGTAAGGAATGCAGGGTTTTGCTCATAAGCTGCAGTGAGCTCAGAGGTGGGTGGCTGCAAGTTTTAAATTTGTGTCTGGAGACGAGGGTTCTGCACAGTGTGTTAAGTGCTGCATAATGTTGTTTCAGAGACAGAAAACGAGCAAG